CTGTAGTTAAATTCACTAGAGGCAGCGCCAATTACTAGCAGAAAAAACTATCATTAAAAAATGTAATCAGTCACTAAAACCTTTGAGAAAGTCTGAGATGCTTTGTGAACTTTTTTTTGGTTAGTTAATGAGAGCATTAACGCACCGGGTACTGCTGAAGGGCACAGTGGTGCCATGTCAGAAGCTATAAGCATAACAGTGATAAAATGAAACAAAGATGCTAATTAAATCAGGACTGCAACCGGTGGAAAGAACACCACTGCATTTTGCCCAATAGTAATGCAAATAAATGATTGCATATACTTGCAACATTGCTAAATTTCTTAATATAAATAATTTTAAATGGTGGATTTTTCACGCTGTCTTTTGGACTTCTTTCTAATTATGGAAAATCCTTGCTTCCTTAGTATTACAGCACTGACATACTACCTGCCTTCAGTTTTACTGCGAAAATTATGCAGGTCTTGAAGTGATCTGGGACCTGCATCACAGCCCGTACAGGCACTTCAGACTAACGTTTATGTTGCCTTTACTCAAGACCAGAAGCACTTCTGCAACAACATAGAAATTACAATTACCATGTAAAGGCCAACTTGAAAACAATTTAAAAGCATAAGGAGGACTTTACTGGTACTCATACAGATGGTATTTTGTGACCTCCGAATTCTGGTGGTAAGGAACATCGGTTAAAGGGATTGCCGAAAATTTGTCTGCAGGGAAACAATCTCCATTTAAAAGGTGTCACCATCAGGAGACCACCAAGTTTGAAAAATGCGTAAATCCTTACCTCAGCTTCAGCTCTCTACTAAAAAATAACATGGGGTTAGGTTTTTTCCCCCCTTCCATACTTTTGACTTAACTAGGCCTAAACTCATCAACCAACTCTCCCACTCCTCTCCTGGAGCCTATGAGATCTCCTGCACATCACTTGGCTGCACGCTTGGTGACTTAAGAGCAATGTAGTGATCGTAACAGAATACGCAGACACACTGAAAAGCTGAATCTCCCAAACACACGAAACTACAGAATTTTTTTTGAAACAGCAAATCAATTCTACTAAAAATCAAGCAACATGAAAGCAGTCACGCTCCTTTGCAAAACAAAACCCACCCAACAGGGACACAATGCACACTGCATATTTAACAGCTTTATTTTCTTAAACGTAACTGTAATTCTTCACATCTTTACCCGCAGAAGACTGACCCGTCTTTCCATTCTCCTCTTAGTGTCAATCTGGACATTTCCACTGCTGCATGTAAGCTCCCACTTCTACTTCTTAGTAACTAAAGCCCCAGAATACTAACTTACTGAAAACACAAATCCTTTGTACTGGTTATTAAGCAGATTATTCAATCCCTAATAGAATAAAAAAACTTGACTGTGAAGTGAAATCAAGTTGTAGTAGCTCAAGAAAGAAATAAAATTTTTCCTTCAAATAATACTGAGAAGTCCAACCCACAGCTCTCTATTCCATAAAAAGATAAAGCAAAATAATTCCATTCACAGACACCATTTCAAAAAGAGAAACAGCAATAAACCAAAACTGCACTTTGCCAAGCTTCAATATTGTTATAAAACCTTTTGAACTATTTGCTTTATGTTTGTTCTTCATAAATATATTTGGTTTACTTCCAGGTTTGTTGATACAACTGTATAATGCAGTAAAACATTTTGTAAATTTAACAGAAATCAATGCTTCACTCATTGAGACGTGGCTTTAGGTTCTGGTGTCTTCTGCAACATTACAAATATCCTGATGAAAAGTGTGCTTGTCTTCGTATTCATTCAGAAAAAGGAAGAACAGCTTACATGCTAAAAACTGAAGTATACTGTCTGTGCTGGGCTTTTCCAAAGCGACACAAATGGAAGGGTTTTTAAAACAACTGAAATTACTGGGTTTTCAAACGAGAAGTGGAAGAACTGAAAGCTGGCATTTAGCAACGACACCACACGAAAGAGAAGGGGGAGAACAGGTAAGCGATTCTGACCTCATTGACCGCCACGTGGTATCGCTGCTGCTGGAACCGAGGCGAGTTATCGTTCCTGTCTCTCACCACAATCCGTACTTCGTGGTTGATGATGGTGCCAACCTTTTTGTTAACACACTGGACTTGCACCACAATGGACTGAATGGACATTGGCGGCTGTAAGTGAAGATACATTTTTATAATACGTAGTCAAAATCGGAACCAACAGTTAAATTTTCCACCGATGTTAATACTGCTCAGGTTCACTGATAGCCCATCAGCCCGTCTGTGTTATGTTTAATGCTCTATGTCTGGACTGAAACGCTTCTCAGAGTACCCTGACTACAACTCATGCTGGCAGTATTTTAAGTAGACCTACGTGTCTCAAAGCTGTATTTTGCAGACTGAGCTTTGCCAGCTGTATGTGCTAACAGAGAAATAAAAATCCCCAGCACGATTAGCCCTTCACACTTCTCTTGAGAAGAAAAAAAAAAAAGCACATCTCTTGAACATCATCTGATTATGCTGTATTTTGCAGACTGAGCTTTGCCAGCTGTATGTGCTAACAGAGAAATAAAAATCCCCAGCACGATTAGCCCTTCACACTTCTCTTGAGAAGGAAAAAAAAAAACACATCTCTTGAACATCTTCTGATTATTGAAAGATACCTAGAAAATGTCACACATTTTAACCTTTGGTTTATTAATATTGGAATTGAAAGGTTAAGTCAGAAATAAATTCAATATGCTACCACTTACATTTACCAAGTAATTTAGAAACAACTTGGTCACCTTTAAGTGTAGACAATCCAAAGTCCTGTCGTTTTTACTCCTGCGAACATCATAATATTCAAATATAAATGACTCCCAAACTTGATGAGTGGGTAAAGAAATTTAAGCTGGAAAGGCTATTACTACTTACCTGAGTTAATAAACCAATTCTAAGAAGAATAAAGGAAAAGGCACCTTTGGTTGAAATGGAAATTCAGAAAGACTGCTATGGAAATACAGCATTCCAGCGTGACTTCTATTCACAACGTTCCCACCATGGCAAGTGCCAACTTACATGTCTGAAGCAAGAGTCTGGCATGTAAAATACTGACAGCAAGTCCGTTTTGACTTTGTATCTAACACTCAGCAGAGAGCAAACAAGCATAGGAAGGGACAAAATGAAAAAATTCTCTATTTATGAACCTCAAAGTCTTCAAGAGAATAAACAACTCAAAAACGTAATTTAAAGATGCCTATGCCATACTATTCTGTACAGTGAATGCAAACAGGTTTTTGTACTGAGATTCTGAGACTTACAATTATACCATAATTATATATCTACATAATTATGTTTCACTCATTCTAAATGCTACAATTTGTTTGGTTGATTGATTTTTTCCAATTTCACTATAATGGATTTTAGAACCATAAGGCTTTCCTTACCCTTCAGACTTTGGCACTAATCAGTTTTTAAAGAGTCAGCAGATTTGGGGAAAGAAGGGGGCTTTTATGGTGGTGTTGAGATCTTACACGAAATATCTATTCTTCCCTATACGTTTCACCCTCAACTTTCTCTGCAATGAAGTACAGCATGAGCTTTTAACTAAAAGTCCAGTCTCTCTGCTGTAAAACTCTGCAGCCAGCTGTGATGTGGTTCTACTTTTATCAATGGAACTTCTAACACAGGTAGGAACATACCAAATATCATCTGTAACTTAAATTAAGCCTCTAACATTATAGTCTCCTTTTATTTTCCAATTCTTTGCAAAAGCTCCAAGAATTTTTAGGCCACTTTTAATAAACTTCAAATGATACTGAGTTTATCTAGATTTATTAGCAATGCCCAAGAAAAACATAATTAGTTGTAATGATAGATACGTAAATACACGATGTTCTGGATTTGGTCTTTTTCACAAGAACATGGAAAAAAAATAGTTTGTCGCCTCCGGTAAAATATGACAGAGTACAGGACCAATATTACTTTCACATACGTACAATTTCTGCTGGGTCAGTGCTTAGATTTAAAATCAGGTCTTTAAACAAACACTCATCAATCTAGGCACTTACAGACAATAAACGTAAATACATAATGGCACAATGTAACAAACTGTTTATGATACTGGGGACAAATTATCCCAACACCTTTTAGCAGTTCCTTTCACCTTCAGTTCTGATTTATCGCTATTCATCCTTTCTAAGTACCTAAAGTTTTGGAAGAAAAGTCTGGAATTTTCTTTTTATCTGATTTTGTTTGGAAAACATACTGTCATTCTCAGTAAAATCAATCAATGAAATCTAATAAGATTTTCTTTCAAGCAAAGTAATAAAAAAAGAAGAGGATCAGGCTAACTGAATCAGCAGGGAGTTGACAAGCAGGCACATCGGAGAGAAAAATGGAAAGAGTATCCAAATATATTGAATGCAATCTTATATGCACCATTTGTGAATCTGAGAGTACAATTTCTGCTCTGTAATAAAAAATTGAATTTTAAAGTTCAACTTAATAAACCCCCAAATTTTATTGGTACTACTAAGTTTCACATGGTTTTAACTTGAAAGATGAGAAAAATAATTTACTTTTTCTGTTAACAAAAAAAAAAAAAGGAACCGCACACACTCTTGAATGATTTTGCATTTTAGGGGTTATTATAGCTCTGGTTCTGAAGGCTGGAAACAGCCTTTAGGTAAGAGCCGTATTAATCAAGTCCGTGACATAAATTTCACATTTTTACTCCGTCAGTGGGGTTTTTGTGGGTTGCTTTCATTTTCTTTGGCTTGTGACTTACAGCAATTAATTGAGACCACAGAAGACAGCTACAGTGGGGCTCACATCCAAAATCTCAATTATCTTAAATCTCAGATTTTCTTTTCATATCGCAGTAAACTTAAACAAATACAAACAAGTAATTTTACTCAGCGCTACAGTACTAGGGACAAGAATTGTTACAGTTCATAGTAAAAAAATGAGGAAATAACCCCTTAAATACCAATGTAAAACCACCAATATTACCTACATATAATTAAGAAAATGTACACCCTCCACTTGTTTCCTTGCAACTTGCGTCTACTTCTTGCGAAGAACATCACTGTAAAGTGTCTGTATATATTCATAATGATGTAAAGTATTTGTGAGTTTAGTTAGACTGTTACTAATACTAGAAATCAAATCATTTGACAAGGTTGTCTTGGTAAAGCATCTAGTTAGATTCAGGTAGAGCAGCTCAGATGAACGATCCTGTCCAGAGAAAAGTGTCACTAGAAGACGCATTGAAAACAGCATTAGCACTGATCTAATAGGAACTAATTTTGTTTCCTAATACCATATGGATATGCAGACTTGCATGGGGTGAAGAACTGACCCTACACTTCCTAGAGTGGTTCTTAAGTCTCACCTCCTGTTAGGGGCTCTTGCTTTTTGCTCTGACTTAAAATAAAACTGCAAAGCCAAACATGTTCTCCTCAAAGGCAGCCAGCTGTT